ACCCACAGTCTCAATGTGTCCCATATTCCTCCAAACAAATGCATAGTCAGGCCTTTCACTGCAATACCCCAGTCCTTGGTATCAACTTCTGCCTCAGTTAGGGTTTCTGTTGCTGTGATAGGATGCCATGACCATACAGACCAAGCATTCAAACCAATGAGCCATTGGAGGCCATTCCTATTCAAACCACCACAGCTGTTGCCAAGGCTACTGTTTGCTGTTCACAAACTGATAATGCTCTCTTCCTGAAGACAATTACACATCTCACTGAACACAGAGAAGTCAAGTGAGTGCTTAAATAGTGCCTTCACCCCTACTGGCTAGTGTTCATGGAAGGTACTCTGCACACTAACACAGGAGAAAAGAAAGCATCAACCCAGCTCCAAACTCTCCAATAATCATTGATGACTTGCCTGTATGAAATACTGATGTAATAGTGGCACCAGCATTGCAGGATTTAAGGCCCATTCCACAAGATTGAGCCCATGACTAACACTCTTCAAGTGGCTAAGAAGCTGAGAAAAGATAGGCCATGAGCCTAGAAGAAAACCAAATACTATTGTTCTACTGAAGGAACATTGTAAAAAATGACTCCTGGTTACATTCTTCCATAGCCATAGACCAGAGTCTCTCTCAGCCACCGTCTTAGAAGCTCCCTCCTGCTGCAGATGGGAACTGATATAGAAACCCACAACTGGACAATGTGCTGAGAGTGAGAGACTTTGGAACACTGGATCCTAAGTGGGCTATCTTCATCAGTCCCTTCTCCTCGGGGTTCAGGGAACTATGTGGAAGAGGAGACAGAAAGATGTTAAGAGCCAGAGGAGATGGATAAGGAAACTGGCTTTCAGACCCGACAGGACAGATGTGCGTGTGAACTGACAAAGACCAGCAGCATGCACAGGGCCTGCATGGTTCAAGCCAGATCTCGTCCTAGTCCTGAGAGAGGGAAGGGTAGACACAAGCCCCCATCCCTAACCAAGAACTATCCCCAGTTGATAACCACTTGCAGAAGAAAAATTAGTTTTCTCTAGTGGAGTTTCATTGGGCATATAAGCCACACTTAAAGGCAGGCCCATGCCCAGCAGTAGATGGCCAACATAAAACAAATTCAGTGGTTTTATTCGAGTTCTCTAGAGTAACAGAACTTACAGAATTAATTCCCCACTCTGTGTGTGTGTGTGTGTATGTGTGTGTGTGTGTGTGCGTGCACATGCATGCGCTGTGTTTCTTGTGCCTTTTTTATTCTGGTTTTTGTTTGTTTGTTTGTTTTTATTTGCCTTTTTAAATTTTTACATACCCAGAGAAAGAAAGCATGGAGTAGATGGTGGGAAGGTGGGAAGTTTCTGTGAGGAGATAAGGGAGGGGAGATAAGGGAATATATTCTAAAGATTTATTTATTTATTATGTATACAGTGTTCTGCCTGCATGGATCCCTACAGTCCAGAAAGGGGAATCAAATCTCATTATAGATGGTTGTGAGCCACTATGTGGTTTCTGGGAATTGAACTCAGGGCCTCTGGAAGACCAGCCAGTGTTCTTAACCTCTGAGCCATCTTTCCAGCCCAAAAGAATGTATTTTATGAAAAAAAATTTCAATAAAGAAAATGAAAATGCCTTAATGTTTTCTAGAAAAAATACAAATAAATTTAAAAGTGAATGGAGGTATTCTGTACATCACAGGGTCATAAAGTTTAAGGCCATGGCTCAGGCTGGCTGAGCACCCTCACTTGAGTCCTAGGACCTTTGTTCATGACCAAGACAGGCTGCTGGTCAGCCTGCTTCAAACCCCGATGGCCCTCTGGTTGAGCTGCCTTGTCTGCCTTGGGTCAGTCTTGAAACAGTGCCAGACTTGTGGGGATTTTTGGTGGCCATCCCTGAGCATTGTAGCATTCTCTGTCAGAGTAACAGGAGGAGGTGTAGCCAGGCTGGCAGTGTTCCACAAGTGTTCGTAAGGAGCCTTGATCAGTGGAACACCTGTGAGGTAGTCGGCCATGTTCAAGGTCTGAGCTAGCAAGTTAGTCACATTAAAAAAAAAAAAAAGAAAGAAAGAAAAAAGAACCAACAGAGTCTTGGAGGGGATCCAAAACACTGGTGCACATTATCTGGGTTCAGTGGAAGAAGTCACTTGCAAGTCCACAGTACTTGCCAACATGGATTCAAAACTAGTTAAACCAGACCATTCATGATAAGCGAAATCCCAGCGCCTCCTGTGCCTGGCAGTACCTGCTGTTTCTCCTTCTGAGGCCAGTTAGCCGTGCACATAGACTGAAGCCTCAACTCTGCTGTGTGGGGTCCTCCAGCCTCCCCCAGGCAAGTTCCACTAAAGATGAAGTGCTGGATACAGCTGCCTCCTCAGTGACCTCTGAAGCTTCTATAATAAGCCCTAGGGTCTTCTAGCAAAAAACACTCCTCTCTGTCTCTCTCTGATCCTTCCCTCTCCCTCCTCCTTCCTCCCCTCCCTCTTATCCTCTCCCTTTTTCTCCCTCCCCCCTCTCTTTTCCCCTCTACCTTCCCCGGTCTCTCTCTCTCCCTCCTCCCCTCCCTCCTCTCTCCTGTCTCCCCCTTTCCCTCTTCCTTCCTCCCTACCCCATTCTCTTCCCCTCTTCCACTCCCCCTCTTCTCAGCTCCGTCCTCTCTTGCCTTCACCTATCCCATACTTCCCTGCTCCAGCTTTTCCCTTCTTCACTTTTAATCCCCCTCCCTCTCCCCCTTACCATCCCCCTTTCTGAAAGAAGAGAGGAGGAAAGGAGAAGACACAGAGTTTCCCAACCCCTCGAACCTGTTTCTCATAATTAATCAGAATTAGACTCCATGGATCCTTAGGGGCATTTTATCTATAAAACACGGCATTTTTATGTGTGACTCTACTCTTTGTGCCCTGTGTTTTCAACCCAATGCATGCTAAGCGCCTGTGGTTGTTTGAATAAGAATGGCTCCCATAGGCTCCTAGATTTGAATGCTTGGTCCCTAGGGGGTTCCACCATTAGGAGGTGTGGCCTTGTTGCAGGAAGTGTGTCACTGGGGATACACTTTGGAGATTCAAATACTTCAGCCAGCCCCAGAGTCTCTCTCTGCCTGCTGCCTGCAGATCGGGAAGCAGAACTCTCAGCCTCCAGCACCACATCTGCCATGATGATAATGGGCTAGACCTCCAAACTGTAAGCCAGCCCCAGTTAAATGTTTTCTATAAGAGTTGCTGTGGTCATGGTGTCTCTTCGCAGCAGCAGAACAGTGAATAAGACAACATCTTATCAGCAGAGTTGCACTTTTTCTCTTACTTATTTCATTGGGGTCATACATGAAGAAAGCATTCCAGTGACCCTGCAATTCTGTCCTTACACACTAACAATGCAGCTAACAGTGACTGGCACGAAAGCAGAGACACAAAGAGAAGCACATCGATACCTACCATCACTGTGGCCTCTTAAGTGAGCCCCTCAGATCTAATAAACATCATCAGGCCAGGAGCAAAGAGTAGGCGTAGACGCTGTGCCTCACAGCATCCAGGTTGGGGAGCTCACCTGGGCCCTCTAGAGCAGCAAGGAGGCATGCCCTTGAAAACTGCAGCCTCCGCAGCTGTCATTTCTGCAACTCTGTTTCCTCAGCTTCTGCCGTGAGCTCTCCCTGTCTCCACTTCATACCTGCTGCTTTGTGACTGAATCCCTTCATCTCTGCATTTTAGCCTTTGCTCAGGTGCTTCCTGGGGCTTTTCTAAGTGTGAGATTTTTTTTGGGCTGTGCAGATATTTGGACTCATGTGCAATGCCCAGCACGGTGTCGTGGGCACAGCATCAACTCCAGTGTTCACCTGTCATTTGGCAGGGACTCCCAAAGCCATCTGCTCTGGGTCTCATCATATTTAGGAAGTGGGCCTGCTCTTTTCCATCATTCTTCTTATGCCTGTGGGTTGCTACCTCTCTGGGGGTCTAATGACCCTTTCACATGGGGTTGCTAAGATCGTGGGAGAACACAGGTATTTACATTACAATTCACAATAGTAGTAGAATTGCGGTTATGAAGTAGCAGCGAACATAATTTTATGGTTGGGGGTTACAGCAGCATGAGGAACTGTATTGAAGGATCACAGCGTTAGGAGGGTCGAGGACCACTGTCTACACTCTCTGTAGCAGCTGTCTGATGTTATGTCCTCACTCTGCTTTCCTTTTCTCATTAAACGCCTCATGACATCACAGGCAGGTGGAGTGCACAGATTTACCTAACCCACGACTCAGTGCCCCAATTTAGAGGGAAGGGCTCATGCTTATCCCTGTCACTAAACTGGTGCTTCACACAGAGTGAACACTTAGTAAATATGTGTTGAATAAATTCACATAGAGAGACTCTGAGGAACAGATGTGGAATTGAATTGGTCATTTCAAAATCCATTTATTAAAGCTTTAATACATTATTACAGGAAGTGCGGAAGCCAGCAATCTGAAGAAGGAGGGTGCTTGCCCACACATTTTCCAACTCTCTATCCAAATAATCATTTCCATTCTGAGTCCATTTTGAGTCCTGCAGGCCAGAGTGGGAGGGAGGATGTGCTGAGCGCGTTTAGATGCTGGGCCTCTGTATGCCTTGTTGAGCTGCTGAAGGAATACAAAACGCCTCTTCCGTGCTGGGACAGTTGGCACACTGATCACTGGAACCAAGGATTTCTCCCCTCAAGGTTCTGATGATTCTGCGAGGCCAGATAGATACCTGTGTGAAGCCCTTTTTCAAAACTGGTCCACATAGACACAGCACAGGGATGGCCAGATGCACCCTGAGGCAGCCCCGAAGTTGCTTCTGTGCTATGTGGTCTCACAGGCGACCACAGAGACACTGAACTTCTCAGGCAGCAGAAGTGTCCCACTATAAGGAGTAGACAGGTACCTGCTTCATCCTCTTGCTTTCAGCAGAAGCCTACTTTTTAGCAGTTCTATGGCAGTCTATTTCATGTGAATAAATGGGTAAAAGGCTTACAGCCCTCTCACATGATCACCCTTCATTTTCTAGGAACTCCCTGGCAGAAAGAACAGACCAAGGACCTGCAGCAAGTACTAAAGGCGGTTCACAAAGACATTCCACTGGTGTTCGTCAGTGGCAACCATGACTTAGGCAACGTCCCCACAGCTGAGACCGTGAAGGACTTCTGCCAGACGTGGGGAGATGACTACTTCAGCTTCTGGGTGGGAGGCGTCCTGTTCCTGGTACTCAATTCCCAGTTCTTCTACGATGCCTCCAAGTGCCCTGCACTGAAGCAGGCCCAGGACCGCTGGCTGGACCAACAACTGAGCATCGCAGGGCAGCAGAGGTGCCAGCATGCCATTGTCTTCCAGCACATCCCGCTGTTCCTGCAGAGCATAGACGAAGAAGATGACTACTTCAACCTCACCAAGGCTGTGCGGAAGGAGCTGGCAGACAAGTTCACTAGAGCAGGTAATGTCTGGGGTCTTGGTGCGTCCACTGCCTTCTGTCACCTGGCAAAGTGAATTGGGAACAGAGCTTTGGATAGGAGTGGTTCGCATCCCAGCTCATCACTCACTAGTGGCATGGCTGTAGACAAATCTTCCTGCCCCAGTTCCCACAGGTATCATAGGATGGTAGTGAATAGTAATCCTAGGAAATATTAGGATGGCCCCTGACCTGCCGAGCACCAACCTGAGGTAAATGCCCACATTTGAGGATGGGCGACTTGGAGGTCAGGGGTCCTAGCAGAAGAGCCTGGAATGTGGTCACATGTACCCTGGGAGGTGTGAAGAGCTGGAGGTAGCTTCCTTCATTTCTGTTGGAAGCATGAGCTGGCTCAAAGACAGACAAGCCTTAAGAAGCAGGCATTCTACCAACTGTCCTCGAGAACATCGGCCCCGGGACTTTCATGGGTTCACTGGACTAAAGTACATTATGGTTCATTCCTGAGTTAGCACAGGATCTCTCTGATGTAGATTTGCAACTTATTTGTATGATCTACAAGTATGCAATCACAAAATGAAGATGCCCTGTTTTTAAAGGTAAATCTTAGCTGCTGATGTCATAACTCCCTCGTGCTAGCCCATGCCACCACCCCCCACTCCTTAGATTCCCCTCCCAGGAGCCTCTAAAGAAATAGAGTGTCCTAAGTGGCTCACCTAAGTAATCAGTGGTTGTCAGGACTCCAGCTGTGACAGCTGCATGTGTCCTGTCCCCAGTTCCCCCTCTTAGACTGTTCCACAGCTTATTTGTATAAAACATTTGTAATACGTGAATTCTTTCATTTAGTTGTTACGGGAAAGAAGCAAGGAAGGAGGTATCTCACCCACGAGCCAAAACTTATTAGATGAAACAAAAACAAAAACAATAAAGACCACTACTCTTTTATTCATCCTCCAATGTTCAGTGTGTTTTCATTTACTTGTGAAAGTCCAATAGGCCCTTCTGTGCTTCTGAGACATTTTACAAAAAGCTTGCATAATGAGAGACATTTTCCAACTGTTCCATGGAGATGAGGTTGGGAAACTTCTAGTAAAGGCCTTTGAAATTTTATGGCATGCTTGAGTTAGTGTGGAAACTGTTTTTGATGCCAAGGAAGCATGGTGTCGGGATGGCATCCGCTCCACCATGGAGACTGTTTTGCAACAGTGAATCAAACCAGTGCCACCAAAACCAGTCCTTTCACAGCAAATGACTGACTAATGATGCAAACGCTGCCCCCATCCTGCTCTCTGTTCTTCATTTTGTCAACATTCTCAAGTGCCATGTGGGTCTGGCACACATGCCATGTGTGAGAATGCCCTGATGCTGAGGACCCACAGAGTTAATAGGGCACCCTTGGGGAAAATGTGGTAACCGGCCACCAAGAGCTCCCAGGGCCTTGCATGTGGGGTACAGCAGCTCTAATGGGCTCTAGAACCAGGTTTCCTGTCAGCACATCCACCCAGGGATGTTGTATGCCTTTGTGGTGAATCTCATGGCCCCATCTTGCAAAGGTTGATATCTACAGCCATGAGGCTGGTTGATACCTTTGAGCAAGACAAGCCCTGGCCATGCAGCCCTTCCCATAGGCAGAGCTAAATGGGAAGCCCAATTACAATTTTAAAGTTGCTTTGTAAGCATGAGGCAGAGCAAGAGTTCACCTTCTTTTTCTATTCTTGGTGGGTATCAGACCCTGGCATCCTGAGAGCTCTGAATCCAAGACTTCGGCAAGACTGTGTTCATTTGTGGGCCCCTTTTTCTGTCTCCTTCATATTGAAGCAGCTACATAGCCAAGCCCTCAGTACCCTCTCCTACTCCAGTACAGATCCAACTCCTCAGCTTGCCCTTCCCAGAAGTCCTTGCCTTTTGCCCTGGCTGCCTCCATGTCACATGGCAAAACACACTCAGTGTTCACCTTTTAGGTATAAAGCTCCTTTCCCACAAGTTCTTTGTTGGTGTTTCCTTGATCCCAAAGCTTGTAAAGTGGGTTTGCAAGTATTGACATGTCTGAGTCTCTCACTAGACTGTTGGCTCCTTGGAGGTAGAGATGGTGTCCATGTATCTCTGCCTTCAGGAGGTCTGGCTCAGGTGTCATCTCACAGTGAGGTGTCAGAGGTATGAAGAGAGTGCAGAAAGTAAAGTCTTCAACTCATATCCAACCCTCAGTGGCCAACTCACAAAGCACAGTGGGTGTCCAGGACACACACCATCTCCAATTGTCTGCCCACATCGTGTGCCCTCCATAGCACAGGGCCATGCCTTTGTCTCTCTGCCTTCATTCACTCACCTGTCTTCAAGGATCACTCAGCAGTCTGTTCTCCCGGAACCCTGCTTTGCCCATGGCACCTTCTGGGATAAGGAGGTACCTCTTGTTGGCCTTAGGATCTTTGCCTAAGGGAGCCTACTTCACCAGGGAAGCCTAGAGAGATGGGAGCCCTTCCGGCTCACCTGTGGGATTCCATAACGTGCTAAGCCAGGCTCTGTCAGACAGAGAACAAACACAGGCAACATCTGAAGTTGTAGTTTCCTGTGTGGACAAAAGTTCCATGGCTGCTGGGTTGGGAAGCTTGGGTAATAGATTGTTGCAGGGGTGATGGGGGGGAGGGGGATGCCACTGACCGATTCTGATTGTAGGCAGTGGCTAAAGCCACAGCAATAGAACTTGAGCTCATTTTGAAAAGCCAAAAGTTCAGTGATATTTGGTAAAATTCATTAACTTAAAGACCTTGATAAAGCTGGGGTGATGGTGGCAGGTAGTATTTAATGTTGCCTCTAGCTTTTGTCCCCCACAGCAATATTATTTCCTAATACTATTTCAGTCTCATTTTTCTCCTGGTGCTAAAATGCCAGTGCTCAAAAATATGTCAGAAGCTCATCAGATGATCAGGGTAGCTTTTAATTACGATAATTGTGTTGTTATAAAATATCCTTTTAAAGAACACATCCCTCCCCAAGCCACTGTGGAGATAAAACCCTGCTTCCTTCCAGCAAGTTTAATGAATAATTCTGAATCATTGTGTGGGATGAATAAATGATTTAATAATGAGCATCAACAATCATCTCCCATTGTTGCATTAATTTTTGTAAATGGGATGAGGTAAATGAGGAGGAAGGGCTGTCACCATACAATAGACCACCATTTGTGTAGGAATGTGCTCTGTGATCCCAAAACCAAGAGCTTCCAACCTCAGGTTTCCCTAGAAACGGATGCTTCCTATTTCTACTTTTGAAATCAATAAGGGGGGGGGGTCTTCTTTGTGTGGTACAAAAACATTGTCAATAACTGCTAGAAATAAACAGATATCAGGGCAGGACAGATGCACAAATGAGAAGCAGCACTGATTATTTCCAGTCTTCTTTTGCTCTGCCTGGGGATAATCAATTTCATCTCATCCAGGGGATATAGAAATTGCTTTTCCCCTTAATTCACCTGCTACCTCGTTGGAGTTGCAAAGACAGATCTTAGATAATGAAATCTGGGCGGAAGCTGGACATCGTCTCGTTCCCCAGGCTTCTCTTCACAGAAGGTTAATATGTGACCCAGTTAATGTGGATGCAGTTTAAAAATTCAATCTTCAAACAAACAAACAAAAACAGAAGTCTGGCTCTTTAGCAGCCCATGCTTCCCTTTAAATGTCTCCATAGCTTTTCTTTCCCTTGGTTCTCAGCACAGAGCTTAAGGACTGTGTAATAAAGAGCCTGGAGCACATTTGGCAATTATGACAAATTCCAGCAAGTTGATCTTTCCTGCAAAAGTTAATGGGGTAATTTCACAGGCTAGTTTCATCTCTAGCATTTGTGTGCTTTTTAACAAAGAAACAGAAAGAAAAGGTGAGCTCTTAGCCTTTGGTTTTAGTTTTAGGATTTCGAATTTTTAAAGGACGAAGAGGCCAGATTTCCAGGGCCGAACTATAGGAAGATGAGAGAATGTCAGGCCTCCTCTGTCTCACCATTGTACTGAAGCTGTGGATATCCTGATACCACCAGGAAGTAAGGTCCCTGCTGTGTTCACAGGTGGAAATCCAGCCCTGGGCCTGTCACACAGTAGTCGCCCCTTGATAAAAGACAGGATATTGGTTAACAGGGACAGAGCCTAGCTTGATTCATGTCTCCCTAGCAGCTGCACCACTGGTAGTGCCCACAGCATCTGTAATGGTCAGCTGAGTTCTGGGTGGGAAACACACTGCCAAGAGCACTGCTGCTTAAACTGGGTCATGCCCATATACTGATAGGGTCATGCAACTAAATTCAGGGTTGGGCAAAAAGGAAAACATTTCTGAACTCACACTGATCAAAATTTAACACAAAAATCAAGCCCATTACAACTCAAAGTGCTTCTTGCAGCATTGGTGTTGTGTTGCATTGGAGTACACAGTATCATTGCAGCCTTGGTTCTGAACACTTAGCCAGGCAGTAGTGGAGCGTGTCTTTAATCTACAGAGTGAGTTCCAGGACATCCAGGGCTATGCAGAGAAGCCCTGTCTCAAAAAAAATCAAAGACAAAAAAGAATAACTGAACACTTGATGTGTGCATTTAGCACTACATACATACCATCACATCATGCAAAACCCGCAAATGCTGCTACCTGAAGTGTCTTTGCTCAGATTCGAGATTATTATATGTTACAAATTGCAGGGCGTTTTTAAATGTACACACAAAGTGTTCTGCTCTTGTAGAAACTTAATAGCTTAATTGCAGAAAGCAAAGATGATTATTTCCTACGTCCATTCCTTAGCATGTAAGAAGCAAATTAGTGTATCTTTGGGTGGCGTTATGTAAGCATGTTTTAAAAGCTGTTGTTTGAGTTTCCTTTAAAATATGTTAATGGTTTTGATTTCTATTAGAACAGAATTTACAACAATTTCTAAAAATGTCCATAAAAGTGTGCTTCTGCCTTTTCATTCCACATATTTCTGTGAGTTGACATTCTCAGCATTGTAGTTACAAAATCAAAATATCCACTCTGCAAAATGCCCTGTAGTATCAA